ACACATATTTAGTTGCAGTTGTTAATTTTTTTTCCCTTGTATTGCTTGAGTGCTTTGTCTCAATTCAGCCTTTTGTGGTTGCTTTTATTTGTGGTTGTATAGCTGTCTAAGTGTTATACAATTTCACACTGTTCATCAAAGCATTTCTTTGTTTTGAAAGGTTCCGCTTAACTACAGATTTATTATACATTCCATTTAAATGTTTCATTCTCTTTTGCATCTCATTTTTCAGGGTAGAACTTTATTGTTATGAATGTGATAAAGATACTAATCTCAGCAAAACTGACTGCATTGTTGAATTAAGACAGTTTTGAAAGCTGGCTTGAAATCAAGATTGATTCGGATGAGTTAGCAAGTTTGCTCTATTTTCTTTGGCTGTTGAACTCTCTTAAAGAGCACATTTATTTGTCAGTGGTCTGACAGTAAATAGAGATGGCACTGATCCAATGCTAAATATTGATGAAAATTCTGGACTGGATGTAGGAAAAAATATTGATGAATCCAATCCAAACGTTTAACAAATCTTGCCTGAAATAGCTCTGTGTAATGTTATGCTGTTAGTTGTGTATTTCTTCCTGTGGGGTAGTACAGTGTTTAAGCAGTTTGTGCAAAATAGGCTACTTTTAGATGCTCATCTTAAATGAAGTATAGGAGCGATACTAGCATCAGCTGATACTAGTACAGATAATGGTTTCAGAATCAGTACTGGCATCATAAAGTAAAAAAAAAGTGGTATTGTGGCATCTCTAGTAGTAAATGAACATATGGAGGCATGATCCATCTCAATAATGACATAGCCGACTTCAATAGACACAGTCTGTGCAGTAAGTGAACCAACCTACAGAATCCACTCAGATTTAGCATGACCAGGCCAAGGCCTTGATTGAGCTGTACTAACTCCGTATGATTCATATTTAAAACACAACTGGTAGTTGATTTTGCTACAGGGATTAGGAATGTAGATTGGGTTATATGTGGTCATTTTTATGGGTATCTGTAATGTCACAGTGAGCTTGTCTTGTCAATACAATCCCCACACGGTGACTTACGATTCGATTCGGTTACGATTCAGAGGGCTGCGATGCAATTATAAAATGATTATCGATGCATCTCGATGCATCTTTTATTTTCTGTACATCATTTCTATTTTCTTACTGTCTGAGGACTTGGTAGTTTTAAAGCAAAGTATTTGTAATGATCCATAATGAATTTACTTCCAATATCTTTTATTAATAAATCAAATGGAAGTGATGTGGCAAGTGAACTAGAAGGCTCTCATTCACTGCCTTTGGAGCACATGAGACACTGCTGCCACTCAACTGCGATAAAATGTGCAGTTACGGTGAAATAAGATCCAGTGGTAGTGGATGACCACGCAGCGCGTTACAGCCGTCCTACCCGTTTTTAGTGACTTTATAACTTTGTTTTTGGTCTCGATGTAGAGAAAGGGGTGGGGGGATAGCTGTGTCAGTAAAATATCTTCTAGACGGGACGTGTGAAACATAGGGAGAAAGCACTGTTTCGGAACGACTGAGAATTGGCGTGCAGACTGCAGGTCACCTAGCAGCGACGCGTTATTCGCATTTATAAGCAGCCCAGTTGGTTTCCTGGCAAGTTAATTCTGCTACGAGAGACCGTCAAACACTAAAGTTGTGAAGATGAAGTCGCTTCTCTTCCGAATTTTGTCGTTCCACCTTAAATGGTGCCGCATCTACATTCAGCGCCTCAGTCAGAATTTAAGGTGGAACGGGAAAATTCAAACGAGAAGCGACTTCAGCCTCGTAAGACAGCCGAATGTTGAGAGACATTTTACAATAAACTGCTCTAGTTTTGAGGAAAAGTTTTCTGGCGGAGATGGGAGGAAAGCGGCTATAGCTAAAGCTTAAAGCAGAGCAAAGTAAATCTGCGCTCTCGTTTATATTGTTTAGCCTATACTAGGACATTAACACATACTGACACATACTGGACATTAAATGTTTGATTTTTGTTGAAAGGACAAAATGGCTCTTCTTATCATTTGTGTTGTGACTCCTGACCTAACCTGGCTTTAATGCAGAGGGAGCCGGTCGGATTTCTCACTCATCCAGTAGTGTTTTTGTTGTGTGCCGTCACAGACTGTCCGGGCGCTGCATTTACCCACTTCCAAGTTCCGCCTTTTGCGTTCCGTCAACATTACGTTATAAATTAAATATTTAGAAAATCTATTTTTGGCGTTTTTTGAAAAATCGATTCAGAAATATTCACGTCGGCATCGCGATGCATCTAAGAATCGATTTTTTCCCGCACCCCTACTAAATAGTGACCTAACCTGAGTCTCTTCCATATTTAGCAATTTTTTTGTTTAATGGTAGGTGAGAGGATTCTCTATAGTCTAATGGACAGTGACTGTTAACATCTGTTTGCCATGTTTCCATTAATACAGTTATGTTGTGATGATGTTTTAAGGAACTCTAGAAGCTTTAGGTTCCTGTGATAAATGAACAGATGCCCTAGATATTCCAAGAACTTGTTGAAAGAAATCTCATGAGATACATTTTATTGGTTAGACAGAGAAAAAAATACAAAATATTCAGGAACATCTCCAACAAGACGTGGTAATAAGCATGTACTTTGCACCTTCTGTAAAGTATCTGGACTGAGCTAACATTCTTTTGGTTTACATACATCACACTGTTGTAGTGCAGGAAAATTCTTATACGCTGGTGGGTGGATGGGCCTCTTCCAAGTGCCATATCCTTAAGATATTCAAGATCTTCAGCAACAATTTGACACCTTGTTTCTGTTAGTGAGTGATGTCGTGATTGCTTATGTTTTTAAGCAACTTCAAGGGATTTTGACTCCTGTGATGGATGAATAAAAACACTACATATTCCAGGAACTTGCTGAAGGAAATCTAATGAGATTCATTTTGTTGGTTAGACAACAGAACATTCAGAAACATATGCTTTCCAGTAAAATGTACTGGTCAAGGTGTATGAGATCATACAGGTATTCAACAATCATTTAAGTAAGACAGATTGCAGTTTGAAATATTGGAAGAGTCTCTGATGATGTCTTGATTGACTCTGTTGATGAATCTTTTTAAGTCTTTTCTGGGGAGCACAGTAGAGATTCTTGGTGAGCCTTTTCCACTACCTTTTTTCAACCAGTCTACCTCACTCTATCCTCCTGAGCACAAGTCATTTGTACCACTATGAATGGCAATGTTCTAATGTAGATTGGCAGAGTAGTTTCAGGGCACTGTCTGTAGTTCTGTGAGGCAATGTTGGCGGTGCTAGTTCTCTGACTGACTGGCTGCTCTTAGTCTGCATGCCTGTTCTTAGATTTTGAGGCTGACTATGCTCTGATTAGACTGGTCAGTTGCTGGCTGAGATTTTGGATTAGAGTGTCTTTCTATTGCAACATTCTGTTTCATTTGTCGTTCAGTTTGGCCCTGCTTCCTTCACTATCATTCTCCTGAAGATTTTTTTTTTACCTTTTTCAACTTCATGATCTCCATGCTCAGCAGAGAAATACACTGCTGGATGCACTCCCCTGCAGACTGGAGTGTATGAGTGGTGTGACTTAAGCCCTTCATTCCTATTTCTCCTTGAGTTAAAGTAGAAAAGCACTTGTTTTTACATACACTTAAGTATCAAAAGTAAACAGTGAGTATTTCTAGCTGTATTATCTATATTATTTTAATAAACAATTTCTGTTAAGTTGAAAATAGGAGTATAAAGCAGTAAGTATGGCTTCTGGTAATCTTGCATGCTGGTGAAGAGCAGTGATCCAGTTCACCATACAGCTCTTTACCAGCAACACAAAGTAGAAACATCACAATGGAAAAAGAGTAGACAAAACAACACCAGTACACAGCCTCAGACTCCACAGGCAACATTACAGCCGTCTCACATTTTTCTGACACAGCTGTAGCTGTACAGCGATGGCTATGTGTTTTCAAAATTTCAGTTCATTTCAGTTCCTTTTCTTTATACTAGTGATCTTTACACCAAATGTAAATTCTAGACCAAAACAGGAACCAAAAGTCAGAATGCACTCAGCTGAAATCTGAAACTGAAAATTAGCAATTTTATTTATGCTTTCAAGTTAGAGATGACTTAGAGTAATAATGCTGACAATACTTAAAATAATAATCGCCATGTGGACTAATTTAATGTTAAACAGCTTGTTATACAGTATTAAATATTAAAAGTTGTAAAAATTCTGAAAATATAATAGTTAATTATTTCTCAAAGGCTGAATGCCCCTCTGCTGTAGCGATGGAAAACAACTTGGTTTTTAAAAGCACATGTGCAGGGCTTTAGAACTCCTGCCTAACAATCTGAAGTAGCAAGCAAGTCTCATCTCATCTCATCATCTAAGGCACTTATCCTCCTAGGTCCTAGGTCTGGAGGCAGGAAACATCCTGGACAGGTTGCTTTTTTAAAAGCACATGAGCTTGGCTTTAGAACTCCTGCCTAGCAGTCTGGAGCAGCAAGCAAGTTACTTTAGTATTGGTCATTATAGAAGAAACAGCAGTGAGCCCCAGGAGGATCTAACAAATGCATGTGTTTTCATTAACAACTTTCAAAACAAGTAAATTACCAAAAAATTAGGTTTATTACCAAAACATATTGACTGCTAAAAAAGCATGTAAAGACAGTGCTGAACACAGCTGCAGTGGGCCGTGTTTGAGTGTTTGACTGTTGATCTGCTGCTGCACAGACTGTTTGAACATGTCTATGCAGGAGGGTGAAAGGAACAAACAACTTATAATAGCACTTTTTCTTGTTATCATTATCAATCAAAAGATTTGTTAACTGTTAGATTTTAACATTTCATTGTAGACCTGTTGAATCTTTTATTCTTTTTGCCCAAACTTTTTGGCCTTTTATCTCTTTCAGACAAAAAACTTATGCATCGAGTGTATCTAATGAAATACTTAATTTAATCAGAAGCTCATTTTTCTGTTGCTAATGTCTCTCTCTTCTCTCTCTCTCTCTCTCTCTCTCTTCCAGAGCACCTGGGGGCTCGTCTGGAGGACTACATGTCCAAGTTTCCGAAAGTGCGTATTGTGCGCACTAAGAAGCGCGAGGGGCTGATCCGCACGCGCTTGCTGGGAGCCTCCGTGGCTAAAGGAGAAGTTCTCACCTTCCTGGACTCCCACTGCGAAACCAACGTCAACTGGCTACCACCTTTGCTCGGTTTGTCTATAAAAAATCTAATGGATAGAGAGAGAAAAAGTGGTGGGGGACGTGCTCATCTTTCTCTCTCTCTCTCTCTCTCTCTCTGTTTCTCTCACTCCCTCTCTTTCTTTCTATTTCTCTTTTTGGTTCCCTATCACGGTGGAAAAACAGCTGCTACTGGAAAGCACACGCACCTTTCTTCTCCCTTTTGCTTATCTCTCTCCTCTGAATCTACCAATTTCACAAATCAAATGCCTTTCTTGTTCAAAGCCCTGCACTCCTGCAGTTGGTTGATAAAAAAAGAAAGAATCAGCTTTTTCCATACTCCTTTTGCTCTCTTTCTCCCCCCTCCCCTCCTATTCAATGGACAACACTATATAGTATTTTACATCCTGCTGAGGCCTGCATGTGGCCCTAATGTGCCCAGCCTTCTCTGCATGCATCTCTGCTATAATACCTGCTATACATGCCTTTGAAACACCTATACCACTTTCATCATCCACCAAGCTCCCCATGTATACCATTCACATGCATCATTCACATTTACTATTCACATGAACAGGCGTCATTGCTGCAGTAGCACTTTACCACATTTACCACTGTTTTTATCAGTGAGAATATCAAACCTCTTCATGGAGATTTTGCCACAGCTCACTAAACACTGATTGGCTGAATTCATCTAAAGAAACTGTGCTTGCCTTAAATACTAGAAACATTTTCTAGTTTCTGCATTAGCCGTATCTGGCTCTTCTCTGAAAATACATTCTGTCGTAGCAGCTGCTCTGAGGTTGGACATGTTTTTCAATTACAGTCGTATGCAAAAGTTTGGACACCCCTAGTCAAATAGTAAAACGTTGATTTTCTAAGTCACATGTGTCAAGCTCTAGTCCTGGCAGGCCAAAACAGTGCTGATTTCAACACGCTACCTCATTAAACATACCTGATTTAGCTCATCAGCTAATAAGCAAGGCCTTCATGAACTGAATTCAGAGCGTTAGATGAGGGTAAACGCTAATCTCTGCAGCACTTTGGCCTGGAAGATCCCCAGTTTGACCTGCCTGTTCTAAGTGATAATACGTTAACACATCCTCTACAGAGCACACACATTTAATGTAGAATAACTGTTTATTTGCTAATTTTAACATGAAATTTAACTGGAATAAAATAGAGAGAGAAAAAAAGGTGGTGGAGGTGCACATCTCTCTCTTACTCTCTCTTTCCCTCTCGCTTTCTCTTTCTTTCTCTCTCTCTTTCTATGTCTCTTTTGGTTCCCTTTAAAGGTGGAAAAAAAGCTGCTACTAGAAAACACACACACACCTTTTTCTGGCGTTTAGTTGATTTTCTCAGTGAAAATAAGTTACATCCTCTTCTGCATATTTAATACACAATTATTCTTTATTTGTCCAGTGCCATTTTTTATTTTATGTTATTCTTTTTTTCCAATATCTTAAACTTAGCAAATAAAATAAAATTTGCAGAGAAATGCAATATGCAAGTTTGTTCTCTGTAGAAAATATGATCATCAAACAATAAAACATGTAATTTGACCAAATGTGTTCAAACTTTAACAAACTACAGTGTATTGTACAACATAATTTTTGTTAAAATACTTATGTTTAAAACATGTTAGTTTATTTATTTATTTATTTGTTGTGGTGTATATACAAATTTATTTATTGTTATGTAATCAAGCTATTAAACATGAGCTGGTAACATTGTGACACATTTGTCACCGTCACTTTCAACCAGTATACTTTCAATCAGATACAACAACATAATCCAGCTCAGTAGCATCGCCTTTTAAAAACTCAACATTATGTAGCGACTCTAGATCTAGATAAGAAAACTTCATTTCTCATTCACTTGAGTGCAAATTTTAACAGCATTCTATAGAGCTTGTCCAACCTAGCAACACTTGTTATGAAAGAATCCATTTCTGGGCAGAGCGTGGATAGGTCAATTCAATTCAATCTGTCCACCCACATGATGCAACGAGGCTGTTGAGTGAATCCATTTCCCTGCGTGTGTTTTTTTCTCGATTCTTAATTAGAAATGTTCTCTGTCCTCTCCTTTTGTTGACACTGCAACTGAGCAAATATCCTGGGTATTGAGATTGAGGCTGCTTAAGAGCCACATCTGAAATGGGGGAAGAACAAAGCAGAGGATTCTTCCCGAGTAAGCACAAGCATTTTTGGAGAGCCAGAGCCAAAAACAAAGACAGTTGAAAATCAATAGATATGTTTGTGTGTACTGGCAAGAGCCTGCAGCCTGTTTGTGTGCTTAGAGCTATTCAGGAAAAGCCTCTTCTCTGTCTGTTACACTGCGCATGTGCGTGCACATGTACACGCACACACACAAGAGAAGATTCTTTCCAAACAGGATGTCTGTTGGTATAATGTTGAGGGGATTGATATTTTCATGATCTTGCATCATACCATGAGATTTTTAGGCATTTTTTTTCTCCATCACATGATATTGATGCAATCCAAACAATCATTCTTGCTCGAATATTGCTCAGGGAACTCACTTACAAAGGAAAGTAGCTGCTAAAGGAGATAAAGGCACAATCTGTCCCTGTGGTGACTGAGCATAAAATGCTGTCTCCCAGCTTACAGCCTACCAGGTTTGGGTTTGGAGATGCAAAGCACACTTAAATGTATGTTCATTTTGCATCTGTATTGTCTGTGGTGCTCTCTCTCTCTCTCTCTCTCTCTCTCTCTCTCTCTCTCTCTCTCTCTCTCTTTCTTGCATTCTCCCTGTATGTATCTCACTGTCTCCTTCTCACAGTCTTTATCTCTCTCTCGCTCTTTCTCTCTCTATGTGTCTCTTGTTCTCTCTCACTTTCTCTAACCCTCTCCTTTCTCTCTTTCTTTCTTTCTTTCGTCTCTTTCTCTCCTTCTATTTCTGCCTTTTGTCTTTCACTTTTTCATTCTTGCCCTGTCTTTCTCTCTCATGCTTCCTTTCTCTCTCACCCTCTCTTTCCATCTCTCATGCTCTCTCACTTTGCCTCTTTCTCTTGCTCCCTCTCTCTCTTTCTGTCTCTCTCTCACACACATTCTCTTCCTCTTTTCCTCTTTCTATCTCTCTCCTCTCTTTTTTCTCTCACCTCTTTTTTCCTTCCTCCTCTACACTCTGTCATTCTTTTTCTCTTACTCTCTTTCCCTCGCTCTCTCACACTTTCTCTTGTTCTCTATCACTCTCACACGTTTCTCACTTTCTCTCTCACTCTTTCTCTGTCACTCTTACACACACACTCTGACACTCTCTTTCTCCTTTCCTCCTCTTTTCATTTCTCCTGTTCATTCTCTTTTCTCTCTCCTCTTGGTCTTTCTCTCTCACTCTCTTGCTCTGTCTCTCTCTTTCTCTCTTTTTATCTCTTCCTCTCTTTCTCTCTATCCTGTCTTTCTTCCTCTTTATTCTCTCTCCCCTTTCTCTCCCTGTCTGTTTGTCATTTTTCCCTCTTGCTCTCTCACTCTATCACTGTTCTTTTCTCTCATCCTCTCTTACTTTCTCCTTCCTCTTTTCTCTCTTTCTCTTTCTCTCTCTCTCCCTTTCTCTGTCTGTCACTACTTTGCTCCTCTCTCTTTCCGCTGCTCTCTCTGACACACGCACACTTCAGACTCTTCTTACTGTCTCTCTCTTCTCTTTTTTCTCTTTGTCTGTCTCTCTCTCCCTCTTTCCATCTCTCTCTCCGTGTGCTGGTAGAGCAGTAGTGTTGAGGGAGTGTTGTGGGTGACAGATTTGGGCCAGCTTTAGTGGTGGCTGAGTGGCGGGGGCTGTGGCTGGAGGCCGCGAGTCGCTCCCTCCATGCCTCCATAGACCAAACCCACTTTGAAGCTGTGTAATTGTTTCTAATCGCTGGGCGGCCGTGGAGGCTTCAATTTCACAGGGCCTCCACGCTTGGTCGAGTGCAGTGAAAGAGGCCAAGCAAGCTGGGGATGGACGCAGACTCTCGAGACACTCAACAGTCCCCCCCTTTTCTTTTCACACCATAGGAAAGGGATATAGATGATGGATGTAGCGGCCTTGGCTAACATTGTTTCACTTCCCTTCTTCTGTCTCTCTCTCTTCTTCTCCCTCCCTCTGTCTTTCTCTCTTTCTCACTTTTCATCCTCTGTCTGCTCTGCAGACCAAATAGCCCAGAACCCCCGAACCATTGTGTGTCCCATGATTGACGTCATTGACCATAATCACTTTGGATACGAGGCTCAGGCTGGGGACGCTATGCGAGGGGCCTTTGACTGGGAGATGTACTACAAACGCATTCCCATCCCACCCGAGCTCCAAGGGGCAGACCCCAGCAACCCATACGAGTAAGTACACTTGCAGGAGTGTGGTTGTTTGGAAAAAGGGAATTCCATTAAAGCGTTCATATTCATGTTCTTTTTCTTTTTTCTTTTTTCCAAAGTCCAGTTATAATGTTTGTGTAGTAAATCATTTTCACATGGGCGTTTTCGAAGCTCTCTTTATTGCTTCCAATTAAACAGGCTGCTTTTATTACTATGCATTTAAGTCTGATATATGTATTGAGCTCTGTATATTGGCTCAATCAAAAAGCAGTCCAAGCTAAAATGTACCAAAAAAAAAGAAAAGAATTAAATTTAGTCTGAAATCCTCAGGGATGTCATAAATTTGAATTTCAGTCATCGTATTTGGATGTGTGGGTCCTTTAGAAGGCTACAGTAATACATTTGTTTCTCGACTGCCAGGAACAGTGTCACACAGCCTCCGAAACCCCTTGTAGATTCGGACTCAATCAGTCACATGACTTCCGATCTTCCCGCAGGTGATAAGACTGAAATGGACTCAAAAACTGAGCGTTTATTCATTGTTGTGTATTTCGTGTATGACCTTTGACCTTTCGTTTTCTCGTCTCTGCCCTTTGGATTTGGTTGCGTTTGTCTCTGATTTTGGATTATGACCACTTGTCTGTACCTTCGACCGTGCTACTGCTTTTCCCTTTTTGGATTGTTGCCTTGTCTGATCTTTGTATCTTTTGTGTGCCTTCTGGATCTGAACTCTGCCTGGTTATCAACTACGACTTTGAACTCTGTTTCAGTAAAGCCCTTTCTGTAAGTTACATCTGCGAGCGTCTGACCGTGCTTGAAACCTTACAAACAGCACAACATTTAATTATCTTCCCCTCATCTTCCAATCCAATAACCCTGTTATAGACTGTCTGCACTAACAGTACTCCAAATCACTTTACTATGAAAAAGCAGGTTAAACAACTTTAAGTTAAAACTTTGTTAACTTAAAGTTGGTCAGTCAAAATGAAATATATTCATGGTTTTTACATCCCAACTATGAATTTAAAGCATGGTTTTGCTATGTAATGGCTAAATATGGACTAAGTGGAATGCGGAGAGAGTGGTATATTTTAAATATTGTAATATATACACACACACATTTTCTAAGCCGCGTATTCTTCTGGGTCACTGGAGCCTATCCCAGTGGTCATTGGGCAGAAAGCAGGAAACACCTTGGACAGGTCACCAGTCCATCGCAGGGCAGACATAATTTTTTTTCATGATATTTTACTACTACTACTACTTTAATGTAGTAAATCACCACAGTTTCACATTGGTCTGGAACATCATGATGCTGTAGGGCAATAAAGCTCTACAGCATAATAATAACACAGTAAATAAACAGAGGAGTGTGCATATGAGACAAAGACTAAGGCCCAATCCCATTTCCCATTCATTCATAGTCCAACAGTACTAACGCCTGAAGTATCAGAATGTAACTGCTGCTCCATTTAAGGTGTAACGGGAAAACTCTAACAAGAAGCTGGCGAATAGCTGACTTCAGTTTTATATCACCAAAGAATTAGGGGTGGGGATAGTAAATAATTGTCACCCCCCTCTTTGACGGCATGGTCACCTACAGAGGGTCACCCACAGAGCACCACTTTGTAGTCTGTAATGATGTAATGCTCTTTTAAGCCAAGGCCGGACGAAATATCACAGTATGTCACAGTATGCTTTTCTGAGCATATTGTTGATATCATCACTGCTTAAAGAGCACTGCCTTCGTTTCATTATAAAGAGAGCATAGTTAGTCCTTTTTAATTGGATTACTGTATGTTCAGTGCAATATATGAAACACTGAATAAATATCACTGTATGTTTATTTTTTGTGTGTTCCAACTTATTACAATTTATCAGATGTTGGAAAAAAAAAATATCATGACCTGTTACTGATATTGCATTTTTGCTGTATCGACTAATCCTAAGCTGCGTTCAGAATAGCTCTGAACGTGAGGAGAAGTGGGTGAACGTGCCCCTGAACAAAACTGGGGATGAAGTATATCAGTTGCAAACAAGCCATGAATGAATAAAGGGATGTGTTGTCTTGTGTTGTGTTGTGTTGGTGGGAAGGTCACAGAGTACTTTTGTGCTTGCTGGTCAAGTTCACCTGAAGTGTGATAAGCTTTTCTACAGTAGCAGCAGTAGCAAGTGGAAAGTTTGCACAGTAAAGCTAAGAGTTGAGTGCAGGAGGGTGGACGCTGTTCTTTGTCATGATTATCTCAACATGACATTTTCTGTTGCTCAACTCAGGCACGTAGTAACATAAAAAGCCCTGTAAAACCATGTCTGTGATAATCCATCTCTGTTAGTGTGTGCAGGTCGGGTCTGCTTCAGGTTTCAAACTTGCCAGTTGGGCCAGGGTGGATTGAGTCTCAAAGTCACAAATGGTGGTTTTTTGTTTTTTTTTGGGGGGCAATTTCATGCTGGTTCAGACCTCTATAAAAGCTGTGATTTGGACCTGGACCTGGACATTTTTACCCTCTTGGATGTATCTGGAGCTGTGTGTGGGTTAGACAGAGTGTAACGGGGCTTCATGAACTCTGGGTTTGTACACCGGCCATGAGAGATTGCCCAAGGTAAAGGACACAGCCATTGGCCTTTTTAGCGGGAGCTGGTGTAAGGCAGGTGCCATCCTAATCTAACTAGGCTTTCAGCACAGCTCCCACAGATGCTGTCGGACATTTCTAACAAACACATGGAACAAATCCTTTCAGCGTCATCCTGCTTTCATTTGATGATGCATCTCAAAGGAGAAAATAACTTGCATGTCCAATCATGTCAGGTGTCACATTTGTTGAATTCAGTGACATTTTTTTTTCCTTTGTTGCTGCCAACCATGCATTAACTTTTCTCCCAGACTGAGCTGCATCATGTCTGGCTTTTGATCTGCGTCAGGAAAAAGGACTGCTGTTTCAGATTGAGAACGGCCTCATTAAAAACACACTGAGCGCTGCAAATGGAAGACGCATGAAATGTCAGAGAGGTGTGTGACCTCTAGTTAAGAGAGTCTGCAGAGCACTGATAGAATTCACAGCAGGATGTGAGGAGACTCTGCCGGCATTGCATACCGTTTCATCTCACTGTGGCATCACTAGCCTTCATTCAGACGGCCGGAGGCTGCTGGAGACAGAAAGAAAGGGTGTGCGTATGATTCTGTGTGTGCTTGCATGTAAATTTACTGATATTTATTTATTAGTTTATTTTAATGAATGAATGTTTGTGCTTTCGTTTCTAAAGGTTTATTTTTCTGGCTAGGATGATGATGTTTTCTACTCTGGTGCTGCATTAGGGTTTTATTCATTGCCTCTTTCTTACCTTCTTTCTTCCTTCCTTCCTTCCTTTTTTTTCTTTCTTTCTTGGAACAAAAAGTGTACCATAAATTGCGCTGCACCTCTTGAATCATAATAGATGTCAGCTCTTGTGTGTGTGCACATGTATGTGTGTGTGGTCCATCATTGTGTTTACATACATTCATATGTGCATTTTGATCCATTATATTGTATAGCGTATGTATTCAGATGTTCTAGCAGAAACAGAATTTATTAAGAGAATTGCTGAGAGCTGAACTGTGGTCTGCACCTGCAGAATCAGGCTGGTCATCACTGTCCACTCACATCCTCATCTCAGCTCTCTCCACCTCACTCAGCCAGGCTCCTGAGTGTAATGTAGGAGATGAGCACTCAGGACTGCTGCACAATCTGACAGAATGTGTGTGTGTTTGTGTTTTTGTGAATTGAAGAGCGGTGTGTGTCTGTCCATGTTTGCGGTTAGGGTTTTATAGACTAGTTGACATTGGCAGTCGACTAGTTGAGGACAGTACCTGAAATACAGCAGCAGTAAAAACAGCAGTGAAGAGGCTGAAGAAGAGAACAAAAATCATTTTTTCACAAAGAATAAAGTACATTATTAGTGTGGAACTACTACACAAACATGAAACAATTCCACTGCAAGCTGTGTAAGACTGCACTGAAATACACTCGTAAGCCAGTCTGGGAACCACAGGAGAAAAGGGCCATTTGACTGGCATGCAAAACATCCATTCACAGATGGTTTTGTGCAGCATTTGCAATACAAACAAACTTGGAATCCCAGTTGGCAACACATGAGGTTATCGCTTTTACTTGCTTCCTACGGTTGTAACACAATTCAGGAATACATTTTTAAAATGGGATATCATAAATGTTTCTTGGTTCAGTGCCTGTGTATTGCTGGAAGACATATTGGTGGAGATGCAACTGCTTGCTACCACCTTTTAGCTTGATAATCAATAAGCCAGTTTACATTCTCAGTGAGAGGTGAGATTCTGAGAGCTGTAGTGATTTTAGCATGCAGTTTACATCTGTGTGTACTTCCATCTGCAGAGTGCCCAAGGCTGAAACTCACCGAAATACAACGCAACTTTTCTGCAGTGCACATCTCATACCTTAAACCACAGCATAGAACCATAGAACTGCCGCTAGAACCAGCCCCTATTAGCAATGTTCTAATAAAATACAAGATGTCCAGAACACTCACTTTTTTATGTGAAAATGATGCCTAGCCAACTAGTTGACTACTTTTCTAGTAAAAATTAATACTCAAGCAACCCCTAGTGTGCCTATGAGAGTCTGATACAGTGTGTGTGTGTGTGTGTGTGTGTGTGAGTGTGTGTGTGTGTGTGTTCGCCCTCAGTTCTCTATCATGCCACAACACGTTTTGCCTCTGACTGGCCACACCAGGCATTAAGCTGCGGATTAATTTTAGAGGTGGATGTGAGGTCTGGAGGAAATCAGCTTGTGTGTGGCAGTAGGTGCAACTGTTGTGTGTGTGTTCACAGTTTGCATATATGCTTCTGAGGAAGACATTTTTGCACATGCACATTTCCCCCAAAAACAAATCACAGCTGCTGTGGTGTGAATATGAATCAGAGTGTTGGCATCAGATAGAGGCCACTGGGCCATGGCCTGCAGCTGTGTGGGAGCTGGTCAGGGTTGCCAGTCTTTTGTGGTTTTACTAATATG